TTTTTTGCATGCTTCCGCAGATGTTTCGCATCGACTAGCAACGTAAGCTGAACAATCAAGAAATCACAGAAGTTGGTCGTTCGATTCATTAATTCAAGTTTCTGAAAAGCCGAAAATTTTGTTTTCGCCAAATGTTTTCATTATATTTTTCAGATCTGAACGTTTCCATGCTAAGCTTCTACAGTTTAATTGTAAGAATTTGATGTTGTTGTTGTAATTTACCAGCTTTTTGTGATGCTGTTTTAGTTTATTGGTAAACTCAGATTTCAGTGATTATCACCTGATTGAATAGTTATGTTTTGCTTCGATCGCGAAAAGGTGCTGTAAAAATTAGTTGATGTTGGATTCAAGTCAATATAAAAATATTTGAGTAAAACGTTGTTAAACAATAGTCGTATAGCGCGTTTGCACATAAAAATTAAATGCCAGTCTTTTTTAGAGAAATTTTCTTAACTAGTATCGATAATGGACCTGCACGTCACTATATGGTGATTTTTTCCGTTAATGGTTTGATGATACAGACGGGTCCGAGAGTAGGGTTGGTTGCGATTAGTGAAACTATTTTGAGTGCGACTATTATAAACTTCTACAGTTTTTGATCGTGGCAGATTGTGCATCGGCATACAATTGAACGACGGAAATTGCACAAACGGACCACCAAGATCATCATTAAGATGATTGTTATCCGAATACAGAAAGCTCCAACTTTTACCTTGTTTACTACTGTAAGTGTCGTGTAAGTAGTCATCATATAATTCAACCTTAGATCTTACTTCCTCGTTGCATAAGATTGGAGGTAGCTCGCCACCTACTATCAATTCAGGACAAATTTTATTGGTAATATCATCAATCAATTTCTGGTGTTTGATTGCAACTTCACACACTTTATCAAGATTTGACTACAGTTAGACGACAACATATTTAAGTTCTGTTAGACGACAACATATTTAAGTTCTGTTGATGAATACTTACTCAAAACTTTGATTTTCTCTTCAGCACTTCTTCCTCTATAAGAATGAATTATGGTGGCACTTGGCATAGTTTCCGTTCTTATTCGAGCCGTGATACTGGATCCCAAAAGCAGATTTTTGCTTTCAGCGGGGATTTTGAAAGGTTCAAATCACTATCTTGGCGTTGGAAGTCTGGCTAGTTGCTTCAGTTGTAGTTGTCTCATTCACATTTGATGATATCCTGTTTCTGTGAACACTTCGATGATTTTCTTGTAATCTTCTTTTTGACCATAAAGATCGTAACAAATTTTGTAAAAGGTTGTTGGTTTAAATTATCGAGTTAGTCAAAGATTAGTTTTTGGCTGGACTGTTTGTTTTTAACTATAGAAGGAACTACATAGACCAATAGTTTCCTCTAGGCGAATTTGGTTTTAAGGCAAAATAATGAAAGAATGAGTTCATAAGATAATAATTTGTGAACAGGCTCAGTTTCTGTTCCATTAAGGTTATTTTTGGTGTATTTGAAAAAGCGAATATTTTTTATCTAGGGTAAATTTAAATTTCAATTGGAAAAGAGCTTAAAGACTGTTAATACGAAAAAACGTTAGCTCTGTGATAACGCGAAGATAATACTATAACTCATTAATACTTGCTTCGTCCTTTGTATAATAATTTAGACTTCATTTTTGTTTTTTTAATCATTTTAGATATAAAGGAGAAATTGTTTGCTTTCTGCAAAACGAGCTTGATCCCAAACAGGGCGAATCATGAATTCTGATGGCTTTTTTCAAAATAAAGCAAACCCGAGTAAATTTTCTTATTTCATAACGAAGAAAGAGAAACAGAACACTGAACGTGAAAAACAAAGAGAAAAAAAACAAGCATTAACAACATTAAAATTTGAAACATCACAGTACAATCATTTGAAAAAAATACACTTTTTGCGTGTGTTTTGTTTTCTCCCAGTGCCGTAAAATTCAGACGCTTGTGACAATAGAAAACATTTTCAATCATACTAAAACAGCACCAGCTAAAAGTTATTTTGTTTGTGGAGATTTTAACTTCTACTTTTTAAGGAAAAATCAAAAGAAAACGAGCAATATTAACTATAATTTTTCAAGCATCAAATTACAACTCAGAAATTAAAAAATATATCTTTTACGGGTGTTCATTTTCCTCACAATTCCGTAAAAACCTACACGCTTCTAACACTGCAAAACTTCTGGATGATTTTATCATAGCACCATCTATAAATCATTTACTTTGTGGCAACCTAAACTTTTTCTATTTTGAGGAAAATCAAATGACTTCATGATTGGATAAGCATAAGAATAGGTAACACTCTTTTCCTAAAAAATTGAAAACCAGCAACCAGAAAAACTGGTACCAGTTAAAATTTTCTAAACTCGATTACTTTTTCAAGTTGAAAGATTGAAATTTATCTTGAAAGTATCTGTAACTGATCACCATGGGGTGATTTGGAATGCAATTTCTCAATGATGTGAAAATAAACTGCTAAATTTCAAAATCCAATCATGGTAAAAAATTGAGTTGGGTTGTTTTTGAAAGCAAAAACCGAGTCATCATTAGAACTTTTATTTGATGTAGATAACAATTTTAACAAAATGAATTGCAGGTAGCAATTTTGATAGATGGAAAGCGCCAAATTAACGATGAATTATTTTAGTCGAAAGAACATCAAGTATGAAAAACTCAAAGCACTGAGTAGATAATGAACTGAAAAACGCAGCGACAAAAACACTGATTTAGGAAAAATTTCTAAAGTTTGTAATCACATAAGCCAGAAATAGATAGAATCTCATACCAATTGAATCGTGAAACGCTGAATAAGAAAAAAGGATTTTTTTAAATCAAAAATTCCACAGCAGAGAAGAAAAAATTTTTCGTGTCTTCAATGATCAAACAGGGGCAAGAAAACAACAAGGTAAAGAGAGTATATATTTTGATATAATAACTTTTTTATGGTAAATATTGCAGTAAAACTGGCCAGTAAACAGAATAAATTGTTTGAGTACTTCAAGTGAAAAAAAAATCAGAAAACAAGTTAGCTCAATACATCTAGCAGACATAACGAAAGCAATAACCGAATCATGATTAAAAAAGTTTTTGATGTAGATAACAAGTTTAACAAAAAGAATTGCAGGTAGCAATTTTGTTAGATGAAAAGCGCAAAATTGCAATTGATTTAATTTAATAGAAAAAACAATAAGTATGGACTATTTGAAGCTCTGGGTAGATAATGAACTAAAATTCCAGCCTCAAAAACACACTGGTTTAGGAGAAACTTCTAACATGTATAACCACAGAGACCAGAAATGGATAAATTCTCAAACCAAAAGAATCGTAAAACGCTGAATAAGAAGAAAATGATTTTTCTTTAAAAATTTAATAAAATCCACAGCAGAGAAGATATTTTTTTTCGTGTTTTTAATGATCTAGCATAAGCAAAAAAATCACAACAAGGTAAAAAGAGTACAGATTTTGATATAATAACAGTTTCGGGGCAAATTTTGCGGTAAAACTGGCCAGTAAACAGGAAGTTAACTCAAACTATTTAGCATGCATAACGAAAATTGAATATGAAACATAATCAAATTGTTAGAAACTAAGTTTGGTTAGTTTGGTTGAATTTGATATTGCTGGAAAAAAATTAATTGTCCGGTTTTGTTCCCAGTTTTAACAAACCTTTTATAAAATTGTTTGACTGAACAAAAATTTCTTGTTTCAACAATGCTAGAATTGAACCTCTCTTCCGAAAAGGCAGAGAACTAGACCCATCGAATAGAAGGTAATTTTCTCTTTTACCTGGTTTAGGTAATACTTTTGAGCGGGTCATTCATGATAGAATGAATCAATATCTCACAAAGTGTCAAATATCACAATATCACACAGGATCACATCGAAAAAGGCTGCACTTGAGGCTTTGATAACCATAATTAAGATCACAATTACTCAGTGCACATTCATTGACCTTTAAAAAGCCTTTGTTGCAGTTGCCACACGCTCTTAGTAGAAAATTGTGTGGCGTATGACTTTGTGGAGCTGTTTTGGACCATCTGAAATCCTATTCAAAAAATTGTCAACAGTAGGTTGCCACTCAAAACAAATAGTATCGAATGCAAATTGTAAACTATAAAGTACAACAGTTATCCATATTAGGCTCGCATTCCTTCATCATTCATATATATGACATTGAACAAAAAAGGAAAAAATGAAAGTATTCTGACTTCAGATGCAGATGACAAAACACAACATCTTAAAAAACATCCTAAAACAATGAGTATACCAAAAATTTCTAGGAAGCGTCAAAAAAATCAGCAATTACAAAACAAACTGACCCTGAAAAAATGCAAAAACAAAAACAAAGATACTATCTAAGAAAAGCAGCGGAAAATCAGACGTGAAAATGAATGGAATAGCTATTGGAAAGAAACAATCGTAGGGTTGATTTGACGTTCAACTGAGCACCAAGAAAATAACAAGACTGCTCGTATCAAGACGAAGCCCTGAATATTCCGACTGCTTTTTAAGATTTTATGGAGCAGTAATAACATTAAAAAATTAAATGTAATAAAATAAAAATAAAATTATTTAAATTTGAAACTTTTTATGAAAATCATCCCCCCACACGCCATTTAAAGTACAAAAAGATAGATTTAGTTCCTTGTAACAAATCAGTTATGGCAAATAAGCTTCTTTCAACCAATTTGGAACGATTTTAAGACGGATTAACTCTCCGCTTACGCGTTAATAGCGCGAAATATATCGCGCGTTAATTGTCCCAAATTGGCCAAAATGGCAATCTTTAAACCCCCATAACTTTACGAAAAATGATCACAGGTGAAAAATCTTTTCAAATTTGATCTCAGGACAGCAATACCTTTTGAATGATATAAAAAAATTCCGTCAAAAATGGCTAGTTAAAAAGTCGAAATTTGTCTGAATAATAAAAAAAAACCCACCCCGAGCACAAATATTCCGTTACTTTCGTATCGAAAGTCAGAACAATAATTTCAACAAAGTGCAAACCTTTCGTTTGTCTGTGACTCCCACATTGGGGTTTCCATCTGTGACGAAGTAGATCAAATTAATGTAGTCGTATGGTTGAGGCAGACAGTCCACTGCACGAGACAGTGCTAGGTTCACGTCCGTATCTGAAAACAAAGAACAATTTATTCACGGAAATGCACAATTCGATACCACATGAAAGGGAAGTACTGAATTCCAATGGCGTACAGCTATACAGTCACACCTCTTCCTCCCTCGCACCTCAACTCCAGTCGAATAGAACACTTTTTTCCACGGATTAAATCCATTATGTGCATGGGAATGATCATTCATATTTTCGAAAACGCGGCAGCATTTTCTTAAAAAACGCCCAAAGAGTCAACTTCTAGAATTGTCCAGCTTGCCTAATAATCTGAAACTCTTCAACATTTCATTACTTTTTTTAAAGAGTCAACCTTTCAATTCAGTTATACTAGCAAGCCCGCCTCCAATAATCAATTGGCTCACAAAAAAAAAGTTTCGATCAAGCTATCCAAGCAATGAAACTTTGAACAATTTCAAGTTGAGCCATATCGTAAATCGGTTTGAAAAACTTTAGGTTTCGTAGAACTAATCGGTTCCCGAAAAATTGAAGTTTTTCTAAGCAAGCTATTCAAGCTGAAACTTTGAAATAATTAGCAATCTTTTAGAGCTATGAAACGTTGACCTATTTCAAGTTAATTTATAGACTGAATCGGTTCAGGAAAAGTTGAAGTTTTTCTAAGCAAGCTTTTAAAGCTATGAAATTTGGAATTATTTCAGCTTGTTTCATAGACCAAATTGTTATGCCAAAAGCTTAAGTTTATCTAAGCGAGCTATTTAAGCTCTGAAAACTTCAAATTAAAGTTTCTTTAAAATTATTTTGCAAAAAGCTTGCTTACAAAATGTTTGCGAAAGCTTTGCTTTGAAAACTTAAGCTTTTCACAAAACGATTCGGTCTATGAGAAAACTTGAAATATTTCAACGTTTTTCTGAGCACACGATTCATGCGATGAAACTTTGAATTTTTCAAGTTATTTCAAGGGGCAAATTAGTGTGCGAAAAGCTTAAGTTTTTCTAAGGAAGCTATTGAAGCAATAAAACTTTGAATTATCTCAAGTTTTCACAGAGCAAATCGATTGGCGAAAAGTTTGTTTTTCTAAGCAAGCTATGCAAGCGATGAAACTGAAAATTTCAAAACAATTCATAGTGCAAATCGGTTGGCAAACAGTTAGTTGTTCTAGCTAGGAGGTTGCTGTTACTAGTTGGTTCGTTTCAGAATGAAATCAATCTAAGAACTTTCGAAAATTTTGGAAAAAATGGACAGGCACTGTCTAGCCTTGAAGAATCGTCTACATAATTGAATTTTTGTCAAAAACAATTCTAGAATATTCCAGACTTAAGAAAATTTGAAAGTTCTAGAATGTTCTTGGCCTTCTCTTAAACTTTAAGCCTAACGAGTTTTTTAAACGTTGCATTCGACTAAGCTAAAACATTGAGTTCAGTTAAACATTGCGTCGGAGTTACTTTTAATATATAAGATAGTAAATGCCAAATTAGTGGCAATATTGGTGAACTTGAGTAACTTGAACGGCAAAAAAAAACAGTTGTTTTGAGTTATTTCTACTTTAGGTTAGTTTCTTATGTGACTCATTGGTTTCTGAAATGATTTAAAAATGGTTCTTTACTTGGTTATGTAAAGACTTGCAAATGGTTGAAACACACGAAATTTTTTTTAAAACGCACATGACCTATTTCAGACAAAATTTGCATGCAAAAGCATACTTCTCAGACAGAAGGTATGTGTCAAGGTCCCCTAAAAATTCAAATTTGCATTCTAATTTTGCACAAAATTGACAGATCGTTTTTTAAACTTATTTCTGTCTGTTTTGACTTTTTGTTACTATAACTTTTGACAAGTTTCTCGGACAACGTCTTAAACTTTTGAAATCATTTTGACCTTGAGGCAGTGAAATAGAGTTGAAATTACAGCCGAATTTTCAAAGTTGAATTCTAACTGTCAACAGAGCAAACCAAACTGATTGCGCGGATCTTGTTAAATACCCCCCCCTATTTCGATTTTCAGAAATTCAACTTTGGCGGCCACATTTTCAATATAGCTTAAAACAATTTTCAAAAAATATTGTTTAAAGTTTTTTACGTGGGTATTATTTAAGTGGTGAGTAACACAAATACGAAGGCGCGGAAATGAAAACCCACTAAATTGTGAAATTTTTGAAACGCTTACTTTATACAGAAATGGTTTTTAAAAATGATACATGCATAGGGGGGAATAGTTAACAAGGTCCAAAAGGGGGGAATAGTTAAAAAGATCCGATTGCGCTTTTTAGAGGTCAGTTTTCTAAATATAACTTCAAGTCCTTACTTCAAAGTACTTACATGCATCTTCTCAAAGACAGAAATTTTCAAAGAATTACTTTCAGTTATTTTCAACTTGAAGATTAGAAAAATTTCAAAAATTTAAGACGTTGACCAAGAAATTTGTTAAAACTATAAAAATACGGTTGAAATGAAAAAAAAAAACTGATTTCAGACTTCAAAAAGAGCATGTGTTTAGTTTGGTTAATTTCGCTCAAATTCTTTGAACTAAAAACATTTTGCTAACAATTTGGCATTTAATATATAGAGAAAAAAGTTTAGAACCGACAGAATTAATTAAAAAGCGGAATTGTCCTTAAATTTTAATGTGCAAAAGCTAGTTTTTCAGACAAAACGTATGTGTCAAGTTCGCCTAAAAAGTCAAATTTGCATGCAAAATTTGCTCGAAATTGGCAGATTGCTCTTTTTAACTACTTCTGCCTGATCCAGTTTTTTGACAACACTTTGGCATTCAAATTGGAGAAAAAGTTCATTAAAAAAAAACAAATGACACATTTCAGACAATTTTAACATGCAAAAGCTAAGAGCTCGGACAGAAAGTTTGTCTCGAGATCAACTAAATTTTAAGCTGGCATTCCAAAATTGCTCAAAATCAGCAGTTTGCTTTTTTAAATTATTTCTGTCTGCTCCAATTTTTTGACAACATTGGCACTCAAATTGAAGAGAAAAATTTATTAAAAAGAACAAATGACCCATTTCAGATAGTTTTAGCATGCAAAAGCTAAGAGTTCAGACAAAAAGGTGGTCTCAAGGTCAACTAAATCTTAAGCTGACATTAAATAATTGCTAAAAATTGGCAGTTTAATCTTTTTAACTATTTCTGTCTGCTCCAATTTTTTGTCAACATTTGAGCATTCAATTTGGAGAGAAAATTCAATAAAAAGAACCAAGTACCCATTTCAGATAATTTTAGCATGCAAAAGATAAAGTTCAGACAGAAAGTTTGTCTCAAGGTCACCTAAAATTTTAAACTTGCTTTCAAAACTGATCAAAATTGGCAGTTAGCTCTTTTAAATTATTTCTGTCTGCTCCAGTTTTTTGACAACATTGGCACTCAATTTGGAGAGAAAATTCAATAAAAAGAACAAATGACCAATTTCAGATAGTTTTAGCATGCAAAAGCTAAGAGTTCAGACAGAAAGTTGGTCTCAAGTTCAACTAAATCTTCAGCTAGCATTCAAAAAATGATCAAAATTGGCAGTTAGCTCTGTTAAATTATTTCTGTCTACTCCAGTTTTTTGTCAACATTTTGGCCTTCAATTTGGAGAGAAAATTCAATAAAAAGAACAAATGACACATTTCACAGTTTTAGCATGCAGAAGCTAAGAGTTTAGACAAAAAGTTGGTCTCAAGGTCAACTAAATCTTAAGCTGGCATTCAAAAATTGCTAAAAATTGGCAGTTTATTCTTTTTAACTATTTCTGTCTGCTCCGGTTTTTTGTCAACATTTGAGCATTCAATTTGGAGAGAAAACTCATTAAAAACAACAAAGTACCCATTTCAAATAATTTTAGCATGCAAAAGCTAAGTGTTCAGACAGATAGTTTGTCTCAAGGTCACCTAAATCTTAAGTTGGCATTCAAAACTTGCTAAAAATTGGCAGATTGCTCTTTTTAATTAATTCTGTCGGTTCCTATTTTTGCTATTATTTATGTAACAATGGCAAATAGTTGGCAATATTGGTGAACTTGAGCAGTTTGATCAGTCAAATACGATATCATTTTAGGGTAACTAGTTTTCTGAAAAGAGTCCTTACGTGTGAAAATCAGTAATAAGATGAAATTCGACGTCAATAGGAGCGGTTATTTATTTTCGTTCAGATTCTCTGACCGAAAAGATGTTGCCAATAATTTGGCTTTATCTATAGTTCAACTTTTCTGAAACTTATTCAGGGGCGGATTTAGGTTTTTTCGAGGGGGGGGGGTATTGCATTTTCGAAAAATTTTGAAAATTTTGTCCACCTTTGTTGATAAAAAAATCGCGTTTTTCGGCGCGCGCTGCCCCCTCAAAATTATTACCTTTTGGCTCAGAAAAACTTTAGAGTCAGTCAACCGAAAATGGATATCTCAAAATTGTACAAAAGGGGACCCTTTGGGTCGGCAGGTGGTCGAATCACTGAGAGAGGGAGATGTCCGCACCCTCGCTCCCCCCCCTCTAAATCCGCTACTGGTGAACTTGCAACTTGCCTCCTTCAGCAGTCAGTGCATTGATGAAGTTGATCGCATTCAGTTTGCTGTACTCATTCGCAACAGACAAACAGTTTTCCGGGTTCAAATGATCCCACAAAAGCTCCTTATTCTTATCCCAAACTGATGACCGTTTGAGGTTGTTTGAGTTCGTGAACACTTCTACGTCAGATGAGAAACTGATGATTGAGAATTTGTCAATCGAGGTCAGGTTGCGAAGTAGAGAGATGAAGGAGTTCTGCGAAAAATACGAATACCTAAAAGTTCCTGCTATATAAAAAAAATAAACAATTTGATCGAAACTTTTATTAAAATAGCTTTTTTCGAAAAAAAAACAATGCTTCCTGTTGTATTTTTTAGTTATTTAAAATAAAAAAATTTTTTATCTCATTTCTTTGAAATAACAAACGACAAAACCAATGGTTGCCATACAAGGGCAACGTTTTTGTTCCGACCAGAATTGTGCTTAAAAAGAAAACAGACAAAAACTAATCTTCAAGAAAAAAAAAGATTAATACTTTTTTGGTAGCTAACAGTTTGTTATTTAGAAGTTTGTTGTTAGGGTAGATATGATGTTTTTCTTAATAATTACAGAGCATATTGATGGAAAAAAGTTGTATGCTTAACAAATAAAAAATGTTTGTAAATAAGTTCGAAAAACAAGCCTTCTGAATTAATCGAAGAACAATAATGAAGACCGATGATTTCAAACAACAAAAAATTGCTAGTCGACGAGTTATGGCATTTATAAATGTGGTATTTTAGTTTGTTTTGGCCGGAAAAAAAACACTACCAAAATTAATACAGAAAGCTGGGTATCAGCAATTTAAACAGTTTTTAGACTGTAGCTCGTTTTCAATCAATGAGAGCTGAACCATGCATGATTACAACTGTGCAGGTTTTATTTTATTGTTTAATTTTAGGTGGTAGGAAGGTGAATTTTGACCTTTTGGAGCGAAGTTGTTCTTATCCTCTACAATTTCAGTTTGTTATTGTTTCGACTTTTGAAGAAATTTAAGGATATTTGTGCTAGACGGTTTTTTTTCCTTTTAAACTTGCAGTTTTTGACGAATTGTTCATTAAGTCACGAATTGTTCATTAGTCTGATAACTATTAATACCCACCTTAAAATTTAGGGCTTTGAATTTGGGGCTACTTTGACGAGTGTAGTTCAAGTTGAGATGATTAACGCGCAATTTTTTTTGCCATGTTACAGTATAAGCGGCAAACTAAATCATACCAAAATATGAACTGAGGCAAGCGATTCGCAGTTATTTATACGCAAACAAACTCAAAATATGTCAGCTTGTACTTTACATAGCGTGTGTGTGTGTGTGGGGTGGGGGGGGGGGGGGTGGTAATATAAACAAGACTGCTCGTATCATGGCGAAGTCTTCGATGTTCCGACTGCCTTTTAAGGTCAATGGATTGGTGTTCGTTTGGCGGTTCTACTCCCTGATATGGGAATTCTTGAATTGATGCAACAAGTTCCTATTTTGCGTTTGTTATTTTTCAATGTGGCTCTCATCAAGAGTGAATAACTTTTACGTTTTTTCTCTGAATTTGCTAGAAAATTAAGCTTTTGTTTCTTTTAAACGTAAAAATTGACTGGACAGTTTATGTAACCCTTTTTTGAAGAAAGAGTATTTGAATTTTCTGAGATAAAGCGAATATCGTAAATTTTTGGGACCAAGTGAACAATCTCCCCCCTAAATCAATATCCCCCAATATTTTTCAGCCAATGAGGGTGCACCGTTCATAATGGCCGTTTTTTGTTTTATTATAGTGAAAACTTTTTCAAGTCTTGTATTTCAATCGTTTTTTCTTCCAAAAATGATTTACATTTGACAGGAGCAGCGTCAGGAGCGAGAGCATTTGGCAATTATTGGCTGCAGAAAATTTGGATCAAAGTTTTTCTTGCTGTTATTTTAGGAGACTCTGGTCGTTTTGCACCACTAGAACGAAAACATCTGCTTATCTCTAGCTTTAGAGTATGTAAAATAGTACCTTAATAGCCTGTAGTTTCTTTCCCTCTGTAGATCCGCTTCTGTCCAGCACATAAATCACATTCTTGGGGATGGTGGCCAGAGTGGAGGGACTCACTTTGTACACGAAGAACTCGCTCTTCATCTGGACAAAAGCAAAATGTGAATGAATTGAAGTAATAATATGCAAGTTTCAAGACTGGACATGTTTAACGATATTTCGAAGCTATGCAAGTAACCAATCAGATCACAAGTTTAAATGGTAATTTCTATAACAATGCGTAACATGTGTTTACAAAATTTTTGTATGATTTTCGAAAAATTTTCTGATGCTTCAATCGTTGTTGTCCAATTAATGACTGGCAATTTTTTTTCCAAACTCAGTAATCTAATCTAGCAGAAAGTGGACGAAAAGATAGGGAATTATCCAGTCAAATGAGATGAAAAATTAAACTAGGATTTAAAAAATGATCCAACAGAATTAATGTTTTCTTTAATAAAAAGGGTAAAAATATTAATTTCTCACATAGAACTTGCCGAGTCCATTTGAGATAGGCTGCACCCTATACTTCAGTACAATCTTCCCCTTCACTCTGTTGTCCTTCAAATACCCTATCTGGTCACGTGAGGCTGCCATCTGCAGGTGGAACTTGTTGTGGTTCTGGAATTTTGTCTCCATTTTGGGGTAGTTTGCGTTGGGATCGACGTATGATCCGCTAGTGTAGATGCTGTCTTCCACGATGAACTCGTAGGATTGAATTGCTTGGATACCCTAAAGCGGAAAAAGTATCCCTATGGTTACATCCCAGTGATTCAAGAGAAAAATCATCAGGAGTTAAAATTTGTATAACCATACAATTCCGTACTGGACTCTTCGTTTCCATTGAAACGTGGCACTTACCTTTTAAGTGGCTATCAAATCTGCAGCATGTCAAAAACGATAAAAAGTTTTGACAGAACTGATTTACCAATATAATGCTGTTAGAGTGTGCATTCTCACATTCCGTTTTAACATATGAGATGAAATTAGCTGAAGAAAAAAATTTTAAAAATCCAAAAGTAGCCTTTTGCTGCGCAAGTTTGACAGAAAATTCCGAACGCATGAAGTAGAAGTATATATACACTCGGGGTGTTTATTTTTATTCAAACTAAATTCACAAAACCTTTTGCGCCCTCGGGGGATCGATCCCTTGATCTGCAAGGGCGCAGCCGGGTGTTCACCATCCTCGAGTCTCTCTTAACTGCTCGTTTTAAAATTTACACATGGCGAATTAGCCCGCACTACAAATGGTTCCAGCCCGGCTCGAGTTGCTCGATTTTTGTTTGACTTTGAAATTCCAGCATGTGCAGTGTTGCGACTGAAATTCCGCGGTCGCGAAGCAATTTTAAGTTGAGCACAAAGTCGAAGCGTATCCGGCGATTTCGGTCGAGAAAGTCAAAACATAAGTCAAGCACAGTCGATGCATTCCTTATTTTGGCCGAGAAAATCAAAACACAGGTCGAGCACAGTCTACACATAGGTCGAGCGCAACCTAATTTAATACGAAGTTTTTTTGAAATTACCTTTTTCAGAAAGTTGCAAGAAAACAACAATCAGTTGCGGAGAGTTGCTTGACGCAAATTTTTCTCTTTATTTTTTCTAGATGTAAGAGTTTCACTGGCAAGAGGAAATCAATTTAACTGAAATTTCCTCAAGTATCAATTTTCAAATCAACACTTTTAGTCCAGTTTTTTAAAAGAAAAAAAAACAAAATTGGAAAAATCAAAATAAAACAAATGAATTTTACTGATTCTTATAGCTTTTTTTTTAGTTCAAGATGCACATATTAGTAAGTATAAATACATGTATTAAGTATGAATTGCATTTACCAGTTTATTAGTTTATTAGTCACGCCGGTTGAAATGAATCTGAGATGAATCAAATAAGCTTTGAAAGTTTTTTTGATTGGCGAGAAAAACGAGACAAACGAACATAGAAGTTTTTGATTGAAACAAATTTTTCGAGACAAACGAGACAAACGAACATAGAAGTTTTTGATTGAAACAATATACACATATCTTTGCGGAGTTGAACAAACAAAGTTTTATAAAACGTCGATCAAGGCAGTCGATAAAATCAAAAAATAACTAAACTGGAACGATTAAGGTCGAGAAAATTTTTGTTGGGTCGAAGAAATCAAAACCTACCAAAATTTTGTCGAGAAAGTTGAAACAAACTGAAAATTAGCCAGACGGTCGAAACAAATTTGATCAAAAAAGTCGCAACATAAATTGAGCATCCCGACCCGGGAAATTGAATTGAGGCAGCGATTTAGTTTTATTAATTCTATACACGACTCAAACTTTAACTCTTAAATTTTGAAATTTTCAGCCTAAAATTTATAGTTTTGCCAATAATTAATATACCAAAAAATACTTGAGACAATGATTAAAAGGCTGTCGGAACAGTCAGAATTTTAGTTTCAGAAATTCATCAGCGCCGATTTGGGAATAATTTTGAAAATTCAAAAAAACAATCAGAAAAAAAAAATCAATTCTACCCGCAATTTCCTCTCTCCATCTCCATTTTCAGTGATGGGAACATTGACTCAAAGTTAAAACATGAAGTTAAAGTTTGATAGAAAAACTAGTTTAAAAATTCTGTGAGAGCTTCAATATGACACGTTTAAACTTAGTTGAACAATCATAGAGTCATAATAATTGGTTGCGCGCGTTTCTAAAACTAATGATACTCAATTTCAGAACAAATACGAATCAGACCTTTACAAGACATTTATTTGCCAAATAAGATTTAATTTTTCTTCATCTTGAGCGAAGAGTGTAATTCCGTAGAGTTTCAATGGAATCGGTGCGTTTATTTAGGGACAAGGGTTGTTTGATAATGAGAAAACTGATAACCAACAAAAAAACGCAAAAAAAACGTCGAAGTCACATTTTTCATCAAATTTTGACTATTTTCAGCGTAAAGCAAAAAAATATCAGATAAAAAATATATATTTTCTTGAGTAACCGTGAAATGAAAAAACATTGATAGATATTGAGTTAAAAAAACACAATGTTGTGAATTAAAAAACATCAATTCAAATATTTTGTTTTGCTTTTCTTGTCCATCCTGATCTCACTAAATAAAAAAGACATCCTGACGTTTCTTTTTGTTTTCTGCACAAATTGTTACTGTTTGATAATTGTTCCAATTTTTGAAGAAAGTTACGGAATGTTTGGGCTCGGGGTATTTTTGTTCTCCAGTCAGTATTCGACTTTTTAACTTTTTATCATCCAAAAGGTATTGGATGTGTCGTAGTTATGGGGGTTTAAAGATTGCCAGTTCGGCCAATTGGGTTTAACTAACAATGAATATATTTCGCGCTATTTACGCATAAGCGGAGATTTAATCCGTCTTAGAAGTCTTTTCAAATTGGTAGACGCAGGCTGTTTGTCTTAACTGCTGAGATTATAGGAGCGAGATCTATCACTTTGTAATTTATATGGCGTGTGGGAAGGATAAAATTTGTTTCACTAATGCACTAAGTTTTTCAAAATGAACACTGCTTCATAGACCTTTTAAGGCAGTCGGAACCTTCAGGGCTTCGCCCTGATACGAGCAGTCTGGTTTAATTTATACCTTGAAGTCAAACTTTCCCGTTTTGTTCAAAAAGAAGGTTCTCATTTGCTAAGCTGTATTATAACAAAAATGCAATTTGAAACATTTGAATCTTCATTCTAGGGGCCCTCTCTAATCGAAAAAAAAATTGCAACTTTATTTGATTGTATTACTAACCAATCACATAGACCCTTAGGCAGTTTTTGTGGCTTTCATAAAGTAAACTTTGTCAGTGATCTTTTTGTAGGTGATTTGTTTTTCGCCGATGAGTTAGATTTGCTATGAGCAAATAAAATTCTATGAGCTCTTTATTTGAACGTAAGCTATCCGAGTTTTCATTTTATGCGAAGCAACCCACCAAAATTGTTTGTAAGACTACGGCGACAACAGTAATAATATTATTTAAAAAAACTTTAACCTGAAAAAAATCCTTTCGGGGTCAGTCACTGCAGATGGGTTAGAGAGCTCACTAGAATAATTTTAAGTGACCTAAATGGCCAAACTTCAAAGGTCAATTATTCGGTGTCACAGAAAGATCAATCAAGGTAAAGGCTTGCTCGTTACAAATAAACAAACGTTCACAATGTAGTGGAAAGTTATCATTATTGGAATAATTTTCCAACCTTCAGAAGCATTTTGAAATTTTAAGGGCAACACTTATGATACCATGAAAGTTAACGAAGGTCGAAAATGTTGAAAATTTTGAACTCACTTATAGATTTCTAATTTATTTAACAATATTTTAAAACGGCAAAATCAACTAGTCTAAAAATATTTGAAATCGAAAAGCGTAACGCTAAACTAGGGTGATCTAGAATTTTTTGAAAGGAGACTACAAAATTTAATGCTTCCAAATTCACTGTTAAGAAAACTTGCTCGAAATGCTCGCTTGCACTGCGCAGTTGTGGCCAAAAGTGGTCAAAAAAATGTTTTTTAAGATTCTTTTGTAAGGTTTCTCTGCCAAAAAAACAATGAGTTTTTTTATCCGTCTCAAAAACACTGATTTTCACCAAAACCAATGTCACAAAAAAGTCACAAACAAGGAGCAATGTGTCAAGATGTTCGTCATTTGATGGAAAAAAAAATGCTGAATTTAAGTTCAAGCTTTTTTGAATAAAAACTGTTGGCTTGCGAGAAAAATAAATTAACAGTAGTAAAAGTGGAAGAAAACTAATCATTAAAACTCCAGGAACTTGGCATGCATTTTTCAGCTAATAAGGCACTTTCAATTTTCATATCCATTCTGTTTTAGATCCGTTTCACCTTCGATGTTTTCAATTCTGATGTTGTCAATTTTCACCCCTCCATTTAATGTCTCATAATCTTGTCTGGACTTAGAGGTACTATTAGACAGGCAGTATGTAGTAATACAGCATACCAAGGATAGGGCATACAGGGTGCCTTGCGCAATGACCACTGCCTGGTACCCCAGATACTGGAAAATGAGTCCCCCAATCACAATACTACCCGCAGTTCGCCCAGATGTATAACATGTATTACACCAAGCAGACATTACGAACTGATAGTGAGTTGAGTCATCGCAAGGAAACTGTTCCTCAATCGAGTCATTTATAACTACCATTCCTGAAACATAAGCCGAGGCATAGCAAATTCCGACTAGAACTAGCGCTGCGATTGTTAGAGTCCAATTACACATGTAGTCTACGTTATTATGTTCACCGCCAAGCACGATCGAAAGTAATGCACAAGAAAGTAGTCCCAAAAGCGGTGAGATGAAAAACATGGACCATTTGAATTTCCAGTCCACAAAAAACCCGATGATAGGCGAAGATATTAAAGCTGCCAACGCGTGAGGTAGAAAATAAAACCCGACTGCAATTTCATCTATTTGCAAAAAGCGCATCAGAAATGGTGTCAGAAAAACTCCAATTAAGCCCTGAAGCGAAGAATTAGCGAAAAAAGGAAAAGTGGCTATAAGAACTTTCGGCGAAATGAACATATGGAAGATGGTAAGTTTGCTCGTCGTTTTTGAGTCGTTATCCGAATCCGCGTCGGAAACTTTCCGATCTTGTTCATCGTCACATGTTTCGGTTTGAGAAAGCTCTTCGGCATCTTGATTTAGAGGTTCGGATTCTTCGTCGTTGTGAGAGCTAGTGGACACATCGCTTTCGACATTCGAACTTGAAAGCATGCAGGTAGCACAACACATTGCCGAGAAAAGACCGGTTAGCCCTACAACTACAAAACTCATAGCGTAACCGCTCAAGTAAGAGAGCAAACTTGCTATTAAGGGTCCAAGTAAACACCCTAGCTCGAAAAAAAGTTCTGTCAAAGCTGTAACTTGGCCTTTATAGTCGGGGTAGATTGCGAACAAAATTGGGAAAAGGCTGAAAAACGAGATTGAATAACCGACGCCGACAACCACTCGTAACACGACACTGAAAGTTATGTAACTCCATTGCGCAGCCACATACGTCATAAGGCCGAATAGGAAATTTCCACCTGAAAAGATTGCAAGGCCGAGACAAAAAAATGTTTTCATGTCGAAGAGATGTATCATAGCGGGAACTGAGAACCCGCAGACAATAGAAGCGATATCCATCGATCCCGAAATGATCCCAATCGTACTTTTTGTAATGCCTTTCGCTCGCGCGTCCGGGGGTAAGAGAGGTCCTGTTATCGACAACGCAAACCCACAAATTAACATAAATGTCTGCGCCAAGAAAACTGTCGATATTTTACGGAAGCTTTTCCATTTTTCTGTTTTCTTCATTTTGTTGATTTTTAGCTTGTTTCTTGTGATTTTCCTGGATATTTTGGGAGGTATTTTGTTGGTAATTGTTGACATACTATTAGCTACTGAGTTAGCAACTGAGTTAGCAACTGAATTTATTTGGTCCATCTTTTATGAATTTTGTAGCTCAAATTAAAAATATTTAAATTCTTTAAAATTTAGAATTTTGTTAATAAACTGCCAGCTAGGTAAACTTGGTCTTAAATTGGTATCAACTTGAGTTGTGTTTTGCTTTTGAAAGGTAACTGAGTTTCTATCTATTTAACCTTCATTCTAAATTGATGTTTGTCGAAAGTTTAAGTTAATATTACACAATATTTCAGCCAACCAAAATTTTCCGAACAGATTTTCCCCTTTCAGTAATCACAAATGGTACAAAATTCTGAACTTACGTAACATGGACCCTTGTTTAACCTAAAGAGTGCATTATAAAATGTTCAACTTTGTTCAAAAAAAAATCTAGGTAAGAAGATTAAATGTCGCGAAAAATTTTCATTCTTGATAAATTTATAAAGTAAAGCGATTCATTTTACCTCACAAAAGACGTTGACAAAAACAGTTTGCCTACAATGAAAAATTCACTGTCAAAGACTCTTAAAAAATTAAAATCTTCTGGTTTCGTTATTTTAGCAAACTATTTCAAAAAAATTGTGAAAACAAAAGGAAATGTATCCTTCCTAACTGATTTTTCAAAGAGCGAGTTCTTATCAAACCCACTTCCTAATGAGAAGTAAGAGTTGCCAAAAAAACCAGAAGTCAACCTAGATAAGAAACTTAGCATATATTTTTACAAAAGTTGTAGACCACTCGATAGGCAGCTTACTGTGGCTTTTTAGGCTGTTCTTCCAGGATAAGATTTTTTGTTGAAACAAATTTTCTTTTATTAATTTAAGTATTTTCAACAACAAAAAATAATTCACACTGCATGTTAAAATTTTCAGTCCCTTTTGGTATTTGATGAAGCAATATCATCGTTTGTGCTCTCAGATTCCACTCTAAATTGCCTAGAGATTAACTCAAATTGAATTTATCTCATATTTCTCCTAATTCCCCCACTTCCCCTTTTCAAACCACAGTCCCCTTTGTTACCTGATCCCATCCCAATTTGGAATTCAGATCACGCTGCTTATTTCCACTTCGCCACGGGGCCAACAAACAAGCCGGCATTGTTTACTGGATGGAATTAGCAAAGAATAATCAGGTCCGGTTGATTTCTTATCTGGACAATTTTTTGGCACTTCCGGATTGTAATGAGGGTTGCTCTCTTGAGCAACAAAAATTGCCAAACATTTGATGATTATTCAAATTATGATTAATTTTTTCAATTTCAAAATTGAAGTGACACAATCCAATTGAGGTTTTTCGATTGTTTCAGATTATCATATACTTGAAAAAACAGAAACTGAACCTTTTTGACAAGTAAGAAGCATAAAATATTGCTTTATTCAAATTTAAAAGTTTTTATTACGGGGTAGGGGGGAGGGGTATGGAGTGGGATACCTTGCTGGAAAATTAGCCTGTCAACAGAAATAAAGGGCATGTGTTCTTATTTCAAAGTAGTTTTTGTCTGCTGTCAAAAATAATTATCACCAATTGTATAGAGAGATCTGAATCAGGGAGAAAATCATAATTCAAATCGACACTCAATCTCGCCTTTTTTGGTATCATTAAGGATCGCAATGGGAACAGCCGTATTATATTAAGATCAAGCCAACAGATCTACAACCAATGCGGCTGCTCGTATGTCAAGGGCGGAAATCAAGGGCTGAAAGTTCCGGTTGCATCTCAAGAGAATTTTCTCGATTTTGATTGAAAAGTTTTGTCGATTATGTTTTAAAAAAGTGGCAAAATAATAGAAAAAAAAGACAAAATGTTCATTTTTTCTTTTTTTTTCAATCTAATTCCCAATTCCTAATTTCAACTACAAAGGGATGTTTAAGCCCATACAACAACTCCATACAACAACCAATACAATAATACATTCAACAATTCTATTCAATAACCCATATAGCAACTCCACGCAATAACCCATTCAATAATCCATACAACAATTCATAAAACAAATCAAGACAACAACCCATGCAATAATCTATATAACAACCCATACAAAAGTCCATAACAACTCAACCAACAACCCTTACAACAACCCATACATTAACTCAATTCAACAACCATATAAAAACCATGCAACAATCCATACAAAACCCATACAACAACCAAATAAAACAACCCATACAACAACCCATAAAACAACTCCATGCAACAACCCATACAATAATCCATACAACAACCCATAGCATAATACAGAAAACAACCCATATAACAACTCCATACAACATAACATACAATAATCCATACAAAAACCTATAAAAACAACTCCATTCAACAGCCCAAACAACAACCGAAACAATAATTCATAACGCCAGACAACAACCCATACAAAAGTCCATACAACAACTCAATTCAAAAATCATACAAAAACCATACAACAATAAAAACCATACAACAACTCAATAAAACAACCCATAAAACAACCCATACAACAACCAATACAAAAATCCATACAACAATTCTATTCAGTAACCCATATAGCAACTCCACACAATAACCCTTACAATAATCCATACAACAATCTATAAATCAACCCATACAACAACTCCACACGAAAATCCATTTAATAACCCATACAACAACTCCATACAACAAAACATACAATAATCCATACAAAAACCAATAAAACAAATCCATTCAAAAGCCCAAACAACTACTCCATACAACAACCAATGCAATAATCAATACAACAACCCCATACAACAACGGCAGACAACAGCCCATACACAACTTATACAACAACCCTTACAACATCCCATACAACAACTCAATTCAACAACCATACAAAAACCATACAAAAATCCATACAAAAACCATACAACAACTCAATAAAACAACCCGTACAACAACCCATGAAACAACTCCATACAACAACCCATACAACAACCAATACAATAATCCATACAACAATTCTAATCAGTAACCCCTATAGCAACTCCACACAATAACCCTTACAATATTCCATACAACAATCTATAAATCAACCCATACAACAACTCCACACGAAAATCCATTTAACAACCCATACAACAACTCCATACAACAAAACATGCAATAATCCATATAAAAACCCATAAAACAAATCCATTCAAAAGCCCAAACAACTACTCCATACAACAACCAATGCAATAACCAATACAACAACCCATACAACAACGCCAGACAACAGCCCATACAAAAGTCCATACACAACTTATACAACGACCCTTACAACATCCCATACAACAACTCAATTCAACAACCATACAACAATCCATACAAAAACCAAACAACAACTCAATAAAACAACCCATACAACAACCCATAAAACAACTCCATACAACAACCCATTCAAAATAATCCATACAACAACCCATAGAACAACTACCGAAAATAACCCATAAAATAATCCATACAACAACCCTTCCAACAAATCCAGGAGAAATCCAGATAATAGTATAAAAAACAACCCATACAATAATCTATAAACAACCCATACAAAAAAATCATTCAACAACCCATAAAACAACCCAGGAACGGATTTATGGGGGGAGGGCGGGAGTGGACAGACATTTTTTTCTTCAGGGATGCGACCCCCTGCCGACCCAAAGGGTCACGTTTGCACTTTTTTGAAATACGCATTTTGTGACTGACCATAAAAATGTTCTAAAGGCGCCTTCGGCATCAATATATACAAATTTTGAGGGATGAGCGCGTCAAAAACGACGCTTTTGTTTGGGGTGACTTTGGTTCTTCACTGCTTCCCAAAACAACGGACAGTCCATCCTGTGCGCGTCAAACACAACCCAAAGTTTTTCAGAAAATAAATTTCGAAACAAAAATCAATTTTTTGGTTTATGGAAAAACACCTATTATACAATTTTTATGTACGGAAAAATGCTTATCATTGAGATTTCATACAGTTTTCTGTACGTATGGAATTGTATGAAATTGTATGACAAGAAGTTTCTCATACATGGAAATTGTATGATAAGAAGTTTTGGTCAACCCGGGTACACAATAATCCATGCAGAAGAAATGTTAAAACTAACCTGAGGCTCTATAACCCTGATGGAAGCCTTGAAAGATGACGTCACAGGAGTGATTGGCTGGTAGTAGACAGTATGCGTGAAAGTGTAGTCCCTCAACTGGAGTAGTTGTTCATAACAGAGTAGCACAGTCAAAGTCTCTCCCCCATGTATACGCATGTCTTCAAACTCCACATACTCAAACTCACTAAAAGTACCGAGAACCAAAGTTAGATGATTCCAATTGGCCAATATATCATGTATTCACTTAATTAATTATTTAATTAATTAATTAATTAATTAATTAATTGAGTTTTGTTATTCGCAGACGTATTAATGAAAGGCCATCAAAGTCTGCCAGAACAACGTCAGTTTCTGCTTGGTTGACTTATACGATTGTTTCGATCTACGATTGTTTCGAAACTAAGAGATGAGATTTTAGGGCATATCAGAAAGTCAGATGGTGTGAAAATGAACGCAGCTTCCTATGAAGTTTTTTTAAAAGCCATTTTTCAGTCATGGTTCACCAGCAGACCACCCAATGAGAAGAAGTTGCTTATTTTCACGAAGGCCAATGCTCCCTCACATGCTGCGCAACATACCATGCAGTACTTGACAAGTATCAGAATTTTTGAACCATGTTTAATGATTCAGCCCCCTGCAGACCCCGATATGAAAATGATTGAAAACTTTTTGTCAGTTGTTAAGAGCGACGTTTATTATCGCAGTAAAAAGCAGTATTCATCATAAAACGCCCTTTGGGAAGCAATCGTGGGAAGCCTGAAGTCTAATTCAGCAGGATACTATCAAAAAAGTTCACTCCATCAATCGAGGGTCGCGTTATTGAATACTTGGGGCTCAACAGGGTTCATATCGGGAAGTAACGTGTAAAATTAAAACAGCTTTATTGTAGTCATATGTGCGATATTTTTCAAACGTTTCCGGTAATTTTCCAAAAGCTATCGACGTTTTTCTGTTATCGCCGTTCTTTATCTGTACGATAACGATTACTACACTTTGTTGTGAAAATATGAAAGCTTGTTGAATGAGTAGTCTCCAAAATTATTTAAAAAAAAATAGTTTGCAAATGCAAAATGAACACAGTGTGTTAACTTTGTTAGCTGCTAAAAACACTCACTCATACAATTATTTTACAACAAATTAACCAAACCAGAATTGAATAGTTGTCCATACAATGGAAAAAAATTAAGTAAAAAGAAATTTTGTTGGGTATCTAAACTTAGAAAGCTGGCAATGTTTCAAATCTTAAAACAGGAATTACCAAAGTTTTCCAATTGACATAAAGTAAGCTCGAATACTAATCAATTTGTCTAGGTAGCCAAAATCAGCCAGATGCTTTAACATCACTTACAACCCTTCTGGCCTTTTTGGACTTGTTCTTTTGCGCTCACTTGTTCTTTTGGACTTGTTTTTTGTGTTGAAGTGTACAAAAGGTTTCAAAAAAATGAATAAATCCTGCATTGAGGGATAATTGGTTGCTGTGCAAGAAGCAACGGAGGTTTAAGCCACAGTGATTCAATGGAATTAATTGTAAAAACTATGCTTTTTATGAACTCTATACTTTTTTCAAAAATTCTTAAATTATTGCTGTTGTTAGGTAGTGAGAGATGATTGAATACAATAATAAACTGAGGTTAGAATTTGCAGAATATAATTCTAAGTTTACACAGGTAACAAATTGCAATATAATTAGGCGGAGAGCTTGAGCAAATCTCTCCTCCAATTCTCGGAGCCGTTTTTACCAACTTACGAAAAAATCGTAATCGTTTTTCAGACAACAATGTTAAAAATGTTTTTTTTTTGAGATTTTATGAAATCTGACACAACGTTATTATGTTTCAAGATAATAACCTTCTCCAAGTACAACGAATTTTGTTTTCGAGGAGTCTAAAGTTGTGCGAAGAAAACTCACCATACGCCATAGTTTTATCCCACTTCGTGAAGTGGTTAGAAAATTAAATGAGCTTCATGCGAGAATTGTGGCGGTTTCCTTGAACAATATGAAATTTAGTGCGATAAAAAACTTTGGCCACTCAGTTTTTTCGGACTTCAGCAAAAAAATTCGATTTAAGTACAAAATGAAACCTTTTGGGCGGTTTTGCAAATTCTTCATCTTTTCGCTATTTTTCTTCATTTTTTGCAATTTGATCAAAATTTTGTTTTAATTTCCGGATTAATTGCGAATCCATTAACGAAATTTAAAATCCAGCTATCTTGTTTGAAATTCCCTTCCCAGCAAAAAAAATTGGCTTCAAATTCCACGTATAATTGTCAAACTTTTGGATTCAATTTGTTCGCTGTGAAACTTAAAGACGTCAAAACATCATCATTTTTTGAGCTTTGCGTTATAGTTGAACTGCTCTTGTTCCGACTTTCGGAGTGCTCAGGGTGATTTTCTACTCCACATAAACATCGGCTTTTTGGCTTGCCATTTTAACCAATCATACTGAAAACATCTAACAAAATTGTGGCGTTCCCAGCTCATCTTTTAGAAATATTTCACCTGTGAGGGAGATTTCAAAAAAATCTGACAAAAATTCAAATTTTTTTAATTGAAATTTTTGATAAAATTTTTTTACTTGTATAGACGTTAAAAGGTAATTGGAACTACCTTTTTCATCCTGTTTTAAAATTGCATAGAGACCGCCCTCTTTTTGATATTGCAGAGAGAGAACAGCAAGTTTACTGTCCGCAAACCACATAAAAAGCCGTCTCTTCTGGTAAAAAAAACTCCCCAAGTAAAAAAAACTAGCTTATGGTAAAAAGGAACTTACTCGTAAAAAATTCTATTGGTAAAAAACTCTTCTGGTAAACTCACGAATTGATTGCTAGCTAGTTTATCACATCTATGAAGAACTGAGTGTTACTTGCGATATTTAATCAGGAGGTAGTTGGTAAGCAACCCGCAATATTTCATGGACTTACAGTATAGAAACCTCTACAAAAGAAACCTCTATCTTAAATAAGAGCAAAGATACCATGCCCAATAATTTTTATTATTACTATGAATTATAACTAGGGTTTAACAAATACAACTCACTTGTAGCTTGGCTTTCTCTTGCTTGGGTTGGTTAGTTTCTTCTTGAGCGATTGCATGGACAGTGGATTCACCACCACATATGTGTTGTACACTGGATTCGTTCTGGACAAGCAAAAACTTATATTGACAAAAACTTTCAAAATTATCGTACTGAAGGGTTATTATCATTAATTACTTTGGCTTCTAAAAACCGTTCTGTGCTCCAACCTCACTGACAGCACGGACAGCGTGTATTTTTGTCACCTTATATTGTGAAGATCAGAAAACTTTTCTCAAATCTCACTTTTGCTAGTATCTACACTTTTGTTTTTTTTCTCCATAAAAGGTTCCCACTCACATGGTGATGTTAGATAGCACTGCGTTAGTTGGCATGGGGAATGGGAACTTGAACGTGGACACAGCCCCCATATTAGTTGACGTGTAGGATATCTTGCTCCAAGTCACCGCCAAGTTTAGTCTGATCTCCGTGAACACCTCCAGTGATTTGACCTTGACCTCAAAAAGAAGCACAATCAACCGCATTTACATAAATAATGCCAAATGGTTGGCAATATCCTTTTAGGTCACCGAATCTGAACAAAGGTTACCGAATCTGCTCTCTTTGACATCCGGAGATTAACTTTCGAACTCATTCGAGTGCGTAGAAAACCGTGTCGAAAATTTACTTAACCTACAAAGAACGTTTTTGACCGCTTATCGCTTTTAATAAATATATCAATAACTTTTTTGAAATAACTTTGACCTTACGAGCAGTGATCTTACGAATGTCAAAAGAGTAAGTGCAAAAAAATTGCGCTTTTTCGGAGACGTCAATTTTTTTAATCACTTGAAGTCCAGTTTCAAAACATTTTTCATTGATCAGCGATCGGCCATGCAATTTTTTTTAAAAAGCACTTAGAAACTCAAAATCGAATCTTCAATAATCTATTTCAAATTGGTCATGATTATTTCAAAAAATTAGGACGTTGTCCATATTTGTTAAAAAGTATAAATTGATTAAGGTCGCCAATATTGCCAACAATTTGGCGTTACCTTAATAAGTTGCAAAAACTTGGAACAGATATAGTCATTGAAAAGAGATATAGTCATTGAAAAGGTAATCTTGAGACAAATTTTCTGAAAAGTTAATTTTTTGCATGCTTAAGTTATCTGAAATCGCTCATTTGTTCTTTTTAACGAATTTTCTAGGGAATTTCAAATTGCTGACAATAACGGCGACCTTGCGAAACTCTGCAAAAAACGAAGCGTTTTATAGTTAAATTGTTGTCAATGTCTTTCACGGTCAGTAAATATGACCAAAATTATTTAGCTGAATATGCTAAATTTGACCTCGGAAACTATTTTTTTTTCAATCGAGAGAGTAAAAAAACAAAGCAAAAAATCGACCACCCTAAAAGCACCATTTTTAACCGATGAAGTTGCTCAAGGTCATCTTACTGCCAAAAATTTGGAAAGATAATGTTTTTCACACGCGTTTTATGTGGTGCAATGTGTAAAAAATAATAATAATATCGACATCAAAATGAGCTCTGTTTTAGTGTATTAATTCTGTTCAGATTGGAATACCGCAAAAAGATATTGCTGCCTCCTTTCGTATTGTCTCTTTGCCTGTCAAAAGAGATTGGTGGCTCAAACATCATTGTGACCAGACATTTTTGGGCTTTGGTAACTGCTTATCAAAGGATTATTCTAACTAAACAAAAATATTTTTCGAAGCACATAGAATTGTTGGCCTAATTCCTTTTTGCATTAATGTATTTGAATGATTTTCATGATACTCAATCATTCAGATAATTGTAAAGCAACTTTAAAAAAATAAGAAATGTTTTGATAAAACCTGATCCGATAATTAATAAATAAAATGTAAAATGGCATTAACTGTTTAGACTTCACTGAAAATTTATTAATGGCCAGTTAAAGTGGTTCACAAGCTACAGAAACTCGAATGACAAGAATCAAGTTTTCAAAAACCAAAAAAAAAATTGTTTTCAAAATTTTTTTAGAAGAAGTCAACTGAAAACGCTGGTCAAACTCGCTCGATAAAAACATTTAATTAAAAAGAAAATTTTACTCTAAGTTTGAAATCATTTTTTGGTGTTTGGTAATTTTTCTTGAGTTTTCTATCTTTTTTTCAAGTTACAATGTCCACAAAATCTTTTCTTCACTTCTTTGCTTCAAAAATTAAAACTTTATTGAATAAATCAATTTTGCAAAATCAAAATTGCACCGGAAATTTTTGATCTTTTGAGCACAAATTTGCTTTTTGAGGCAACAAAAATTAAAATACAGACATTTTAGACATTTTAGACATTTTACATAAAGAACAAAATTTTCTGGACATTCTTACATGAAAAATGAATTTATTAGTGCTGTTCTATCTGTGCCAAGAAATTTATAACGGAAATTATCATCAAGAGAAATATGAAGCTTTGGTTGGTAATCAATTTGATTTAAATTGAGTTGATTTTTTGAAAGAAAAATTTTTCTTGCTCCAAAAAGCAATCTGTTTTCCAAAAAAAAGCACAAACTTAGGATGTGTTAATGAAAACAAAAATTTGTAACAAAAATATAGCCTTCAGAGTGAGAAAATAAAAAGCTTGCAGCTTTATTGAACGGGAAAAAAATTTTTTTTAAAACTTTTATTTGCTTTTCTCGATTTATTTTTGAAAAATCAAGCGTATTTTTTCATCAAAATGTTGCAAACAAAAGTTGCAAAGAGTTGCAAGAAATTTGTTTCAAAAAATTGTACACAAAAACCTGTACACAAAAAAAACTGACAATGTGTATGGAAAAAAAATTCAACCAAATGTGTGATTTAGTTATTTGTAGCCCTCTAAAATCAAAAATTTATCATATAGTGAGTACCAGGGGCGGATCTAGGATTTTCTCGAGGGGGGGGGGGGGCGGATTTTCAAAAAAAATTCGAAAATTTTGACGACCTTTTTTTTAGGTCGACCAAATTGATTTTCGAGCTCTCCCAAAGCACTTTTTTGCCCCCATTTTGGGTAAACTTTCTGCGCCGCAGGCAAATTTTTGAAAAAACAGTCAAAAAAGCCGTTTTTGGGCACTTTTTGAAAAATTTTGACAAAAAAATCGCATTTTTTTTGGCACGCGCTCCCCCTCAAAGTTAGTATATATTGGCGCCGAAGGCGTCTTTAGAAAAATTTTAGGGTCGATCGGCCAAAAATAGATTTCTGAAAAAGTATCAAAGGGGGGACCCTTTGGGTCGGCAGGGGGTCGAATCCCTGAAAAGGGCGTCCGCCCCACCGCCCCCCCCCCTAAATCCGCCCCTGGTGAGTATATTGCAAGTTGTCTTTTATTGCGAATTTTTTTTATTGCGAGCTGTCGCATTACGGTTAAATATCTACCTTTGTTTTTTACATAGCGTGTGGGGGGGGGGGGGGGGAAACGAAGAAACAAACTGAAATGAAAATTGTTTTCTGTTAATTTCGATTATTTTATCATTTTTCCAGCTAAAAATTTTCTAATGGCTTTAGTACAGTCAGACTATCTAATGCTTCGACATGTTATAAGAGCAGTCTTCTTTGATATATTATGTCGGTAGCCGTATAAAACAATTATCCACTTTTACCTGCAATATTGAACTTTTTGTTGATAAGATAGTCATGATTAATAATTATATCAATAACTCAGTGATTTTAAATCAGTGGTTGATTCATTGATTTGTAATGCTGACTTCTAAGCTTTAATACGTTATAAGTATTGCTTTAAAACACAAAAATTTTTATCGACAAAAATGGAAATTTTTGCCCATCATGTTGATAATCTTCATGTTGTATGTTTTTCATATTGCCCCCTAGAGTACTAAATATCATTGCGCTGTATGTTTAAACTTGATTTTGATCTGTGTCGTTGCTTACTGTTTTTTTAGCCAAGTGCCAAAACTTGCTAACTGAATTAGAACCACTAAAATTGCGTTTTTAAATTTTTTGTTCAATTAAATTGCTCATACATTTATCTTAGAACAAAAAATGGTACTCACACAACTCCATATTAAGAGAAATCTTATTTCACAGAGCTTACAAACTCATTTTGAAGTTTTGAAGTGTAATGGAATAGAAAAGTAGGGGTATTTGTTGACTTGGACGTTTTTTTTTATACCAAAGAGTCAAAGAGATTCTTAAGCAGATTTAAGTAACGTTTTTCATCTATTAGTTCTAATATTATTAATCAGGTTAACTTGAAGGGTTGCTTAGGTGCTTGTTTTTTCCCTCAAATCCTCACCCATCCACGCACTAGTTAATTCAACTTACTGCTGAATGTGTGGGTCGTAGGTTGAGAGCAGACAGAATAAACAAAGTAAATAACGGAAAATTTCGATAACTACTCATAATTTTTAAGTTACAATCAAAAAACCTGTAAAATCTGTTTTTAAAAGCTGAAATGTAGGTCATCAAAAAATTATTTATTCCAATTAGACCACGGGATATTTATGGTGGCATCAAAATGTTTTTACGAGCATAAATTCATAACTAATTGAAAAACGCTTCGCCTGTTTAAAACAATGATTGATATCAACTCGATTATTATTCAAAGCAATACACTGGTCGGTGCAAAACAATAAACACGTTAAGTTGGCTTGAAATGAGAGTTTTTAGTCTTGATTTTTGACAATTTACGTGTTTTGATAGCTTTCAAAAACACTTCAATATACTTTGTAGTGAATTTTGAAGTTAAAATCAGCAAAAATGACTCCAAATTGAATGAAGCCAATAAAAAAGCAACTCTGGGTTTGAACAAAAGAGTCAATCCAGAGAAGGGAATGTAAGCGTATTGGGCTACTTAATGATTTGCAGCAAATAAAAACACCATCGCGTGAAAATTTCTAATTGTTTCGGCTATTTTTGAAGGAAAAAATTCACAACCTGCTTTCCTGCTTTTGCGCAACTAATTCAATTAAAGCAGTTTAGGCGGGGGAGGGGAGGGAAGGATTTTACTTAGTATGGAAAATTGCTACCAATCAGATTCGAGTAAGAGTCTGCCCACAGCACTAAGTGTTCGAAAAGTAGGTAGAAATATTCTAACTTGCTCTATTGAGGGTGAAGGATGGGGAAGAGAATTTGATCCAAAAGTTAATTGTATCAGCTCTTCTTAAATTAATTGATTCTGAGTTTTAACAATTGTATCGGCTATTTTGCGACAGCGTCCTTGCGGATGCTTAATAAAAGTTGGCAACAAAGCTCAGAATTTTACAAATCATCTGTTTTCTGTACGTTCCGTCTTGGAGTTGGAAATAGCAATAACTTCAGCTAAAACTGCAAAAACTTGCATCTCAAATTTGGTAATTGTTTGTCAAATTGTCGGAGTTTTTCTATTGTCTATTTGGCCTAGTTGTGTGAGTGAAGTTAGAGATAATAAGCGTTTGTTTGCTTTCCGTTTTTTTGTACTGCGCCAAACAAGTAAGTGTAATGATTAGAATTTGATAAGGATGACTAAAAATGCTCGTCATTTAGTTCTCATACATGACCCATTCAACTGCTACATTTTATTAAGTTGCATGACAACACTATGACTAACATCATTCAACCACCAACGAAATTGTATAATTGGAATTCTTGGGGGCTTTTAGGATTTTTTACTTTCTAAATTTACCAAAACATTGCTAATCATACAATTTTCAGATATAAAAATTGTATGAAAAGCACTTTTTCATAAGCTCATCCTTATGTGGAATTGTATGACTAGCGTTTTCGGTGCATGATTTATGTCCAGACTGTCGCGACTTCCTGTCTAGCATTTCTAAACTGACAACCAGACTGTCTCGTCTCATGTCCAGACATTCGCGAGATTATGTCCAGACCACGTCGACTCCAGCACGACTTACTTCCAGACAATTGCGAATAATTAGCAGACTATCGCGACCGAACTTTGATACCTCCAGAATTTTCTGTGGCTGATAAAATTTCTGTGTATCATCAGAGCTGATGATCAATCATACACATACATACATGATTTGTAAGAAAAAACTATTAAGCATGTATCGTTCAAATAATTTTTTTTGAGAGTATTTAAAATAGTTTTTTTTGGCGATAAAATAATGTTTTAACAAATCTTCAAAGTTATGAATGCTGTTGGCAGTAGTGGATTTAGGGGTGGGGGGCGGGGGTATGGCAAACGCTTTTTTCTCAGGAATTCGACCCCCTGCCCACCCAAAGGGTCCCCCTTTTTACTATTTTGAGATATCCATTTTTGGCTGACTGACTTTAAACGTTTGCTAAAAGCGCCTTCGGCGCTAATCTTTACTAAAAACGCCTGTTCTGGCTTTTTTTCAAAAATATGCCTGCGGCATAGAAAATTAGTTCAAATAAGGGTCTTTATAGTGGTTTGGGAGAGCTCAGAAAATCAATTTAGTCAACCTAAAAAAAAGGTATACAAAGTTTTCAAAAAATTTTTCAAAATCCGCCCTCCCCCTCGAGAAGTTCCTAGATCCGCGCCTGGCTGTTGGTAAATTTTCAAAAATTATCATACAAAATATACACCGCGCCAGCCATACATGGTGATATTTATGGATAAGATTCAGAAACCAACCATCAAAAACACAAACCGACATTTAAGAAGACGTTTTAAACTTACGAGATATTTTTAGTAAATTTTGAAATACTTTCACAAAAAAATCATACATCGCATCATAACATTTATGCGAAAGATATTTCTATGAAAAAAGATATATATATTTTTTTTAAATGAGAAAAGGAAACACAATTAAATTAAATAAAACTTTCTGCACTTTAAGTGTAAGAAAATTTTTTCAGCATTAAAAACTTGACTCTATGGAGATCATAAGTCGCATCATATGGCGGCACAGCAATTTTTGTTCTGAACATTGAAAAAGAGGAGAAACTTTGTATTCGGGTGTTCTTTACTTTATTCTTTTTTTTGTTTTAAAGACAAAAGTTTTCAAAAACTTATCCCTGTATTGAGAAAAACTGGTTTCAAATTTTTAAGTTTGAGTTCAATTTCGATAGAGTACCGTTCGTTATATGAAAATTTAAATTGTTCACTAGGCTTTTACTCTAAGAAAACTTGCTTTTTCTAAAATGAAGCAACTTTAGAAAGTTTAACTTAGCGCTCCCATGGCATTAATGTTTTTTCAAAGAAAAAATTATTGTGCAAAAGTCTTAGATAGTTTGCATTTTTTGTTTCACGTTTTTTTTTGTAGTCGATTGTGCCTAATTTGTTAATTTCTTACACGTTTGGATTATTACTAATCAAAAGCGCAGTGCGAGCAACAAAACTTTTAGTGAGATGGTTTAGTAGGTCGGCAGTTTTCTATGCTTTTCATGGAACCATACATTGTGCGAATGGTTGCAAAATAAGTTCAATCTGGATTTACAATATACTGAAAGCAGTTTTGCTTGAATATACGTAAAGACTTTTGACATTGAAGTTAAACCGGGTATCTTTCAATTTTATCAAACTTTTAGTCAAAGTTGTAAATTTTGAATTAATTTTGGTCTTCAAGCGAAATAGAATCCAAAAAGTTTGAAGGGTAGCGATGGAAAGTTTCATGGCATGTTTTTTTTTTGAAAAAAGTTGAAAGAAGTGGCCTTAAGTTTATTCAAAAAACAGATCTATGAAAAAGTTCAATTAATTGAATTCATCTTTTGACACTTGAAATGCGGTTTCGAAAACTAGACTGCAATTTAGAGGCAGTTAATTTTTAATTTTAAGCGAAATACTATTTATAGCTTAAAAAAATTTTAAAACATTTTGCGCAAATATTTTGCTTATATGCATTTTAAAATATATCCACATATTAGGCTACATTAGAGGATCCCTGTGTTAAAAACTTCTCTGCAATTGAAACGGTTCTTTTTCTACCAATTAAGTCGAAAACAATCCATTTTCGGTTGAAATTGTGGGCCAATTAATTGCTGCGAAACTTATAAGCAGTTTTTGTTTTCACTTTTTTCGTCTTTTATATTTCGAAACACGAAAAATTTGAAACACGAAATCAATTAAAGAGCCAATGATCAACGGTACATGCGAATTTGTTGGCAATATTTTTTCGGTCAACGAAATGGAACCAAGATAATTAATCTAAAACTGCCCATTTTGACGCCGGAAGTCTCTTTATTGCTAATTTCGAAACGTAGAAACCATCTAAAAAACAAAATGATTTAGATTTCGACCGATCTTTTTTTTCAAGGTAACCGATATTTTCAACGTTTTGCCATTAACTACAGTCCTGATTTAAATTAACCGGAAAAAACGCGTTAAACTTGAAATTTAAAACGCATTTTTCTCAAATTGGGTTGAGTTTAGGTGAAAACTTACGAACACAAAACTTGCTTAAAATTTTAGCAGATTTGATATGGCGTAATTTGTTTTGCGAAAAAATTTTACCCAAAAATGGATAATTTTGGCTTTTCTTAGTTAATCACAAATTACGCCGAAAATACCCAGTCGATCACAGACATAATTATATCAAAGAGAGCCCCTTACGTAGCCCAACAAACTTTATGAAGGGTAATTTCTCAAAAAAAAATTGCAAATTGTTTAAAAATTGTGTTTAAATAAAAATTTGGTATTTTATATAGTAAAAATGACCTTTTTTGTCTATCAAACAAAAATAAATTAACTTATACAATATTTTGGAGATTATACCCTTCATTAAACTTGTTGGGCTACGTAAGGGGCTCACTTTGATATTATTATGTCTGTGACCGACTGGGTATTTTTGATTAACAAAGAAAAGCCAAAATGATCCATTTTTGGGGTAATATTTTGGGCCCGAATTTCGCAAAACAAATTACGCCATATTAGTTCTGCTAAAATTTTAAGCAAATTTTGTCCTCATAAGTTTTCACCTAAACTCAACCCAATTTGAGAAAAATGCGTGTTAAATTTCAAATTAAACGCATTTTGTCCGGTTAATTTAAATCAGCACTGTATATAGCGTTTAACAAATTCATCAGACAATGTTTACAAAAATATGATCTTGAGACAATGAAAAAGAGAGTGAAACAAAGTCGAACATACAGACGAATTTCAAAATTGCATAATAACTCTGAAAACAGTTTTCCGCTTCTTCAGGTCAGTTTTTTTAAATATAATTTCAAGCTGAAATAATTTGCACTCTGCAGCGATCTGGCATGCAATTTTTCAATAGAAAAAAAAACAAAAACACCGACAAAAAGACAAACGCAAAAATTCAAAGAGCTTTTTTAACAAGTTTCAGTTTGAAGGTCAGAATTAATTCAAAAATTATAGAAATTCCCTCCGATAAATTTGTTAGAAGCTATATAATTAGTAGCAAAAAGTTCGGACAGGCAGATTTAATTGAAATGAGCAATCTGTTCTTTTCGAGGTTTTTTTGCATGCAAAATTGGAAGCCGATCAACCTTAATTTTTTTGCCAAACCAAATTCAAAACGCAAGATTGTCAATTATCCGATGGTTATGCTAGCCTAATTTTTAAATACTGCGATGAACATCCAGTTTTACCATAAAACAGTTAGCAAAATTAGTTCGAAAATCTAAATCTAGAACAAAAAAAACAAACGGAAGTGAAGGTGATCAAATCATTCAAAATTTGGAAACTAATCGCAAAAAAAACATTAGCCATCCTGTGCAATAATTTTCCTGTTTCAAGATTTACTATTCGACGCTTTGGATGCAACTTCCCGACATGGTTACAAGTTTCGATCAAAACTCTGCTTTCTGAACTTTCGACGTTATGTTTATTTCAGTTTTATATTCCTTTGACGTCTAGACAGTTGCTCTTTTTAATTAATTCTGTCGGTCCGAACTTTTTGCAACTCTCTATATACACGACAATTTGTGCATGCAAGTCTCAAGGTCATCTTAAGGTTTAAATTTTTCTGCAAACAAAAGCAGAAATTTAACAGATAACTGTTTTTAGTTATTTCTGT